CTGGACGTCCGCGTACTCGAGGTCGGTCGGCGAGACGCGGACGCGAGTTTGTACTCGACATCCGTCCGTGTACTCCACGTCCGTCTACTCAACGTCCGCGTACTCCACGTCCGTCGACGCGCCGCGGACACAAATTATTTCCAGTTTCAAAAAAAAAAATTTCAGAAAAAATAGAGACGCGTCCGTGTACTCGACGTCCGTCTGAGAATCGCGGACGCGTCCGCGTATTCGCCGTCGGTAGGAGATCCGCTGAGGCGTCCGTGTACTCGACGTCCGTCTGAGAATCGCGGACACGGCCGTGTACTCGACGTCCGTCTGAGAATCGTGGACGCGTCCGTGTACACGAAGTCCGTCTGAGAATCGCGGACGCGTCCGTGTACTCGACGTCCGTATGACGTCGGTAGGAGATCGGAGGAGGCGTTCGTGTGCTCGACGTCCGTCTGAAAATCGCGGACACGTTTGTGTACTCGAAGTCCGTCTGATAATCGGGGACGCGTCCACCTACTCGACGTCGGTAGGAGATCCGAGGAGGCGTCCGTGCACTCGAAGTCCGTCAGAACTCCGTCGTGCTACTGTCTCTTATACACATCTAGATGTTTATAAGAGACAGGACCGAGATCGATCTCACGAAACTGGAGGGACTCGCCGCGACTACGGGAATGGCCGTACACGTCCACAAACCGAAATCCGCAAACAAGAAGATCTCCTTCAACGTGATATTCGACAAGTCCGGAGTGACCAGCGACGAACTGCAAGACGACGAAGAAGATCGCGTTCGCGACGACGTCCGAGAGTGCGCATTCGAAACTCCGTCAGTGCAAATCTTCAAGACAACGCTGGACGGATCGTGTTCGTTGAAATACCTGCACCGCCGGCTCAGACGGACGCACGACGACAACTTTCTCAAGACGATCATGGCTCCGTCGACGGATTCGGGCGGAAAAATACAGCTGTACGTCATCGTGAACAAGTTGTCGACGCCGACGTCCGGTGAGTGTGCGGGGAGACTCTGGACTTTTTGAAAACTCTTTTCAATGTCGCCTGTTCGATCGCGTTCTTCACAGGAATCTTATCGCACTTGTTCTTCCGCGACGACGACGACAACCAAGCGCCTAACTCATAAAAGCCGATCGATTACCAAAATTACATGTTATTTCGAAACTGCCGGTTAGACGAAAGAAGAAAAATGCTTAAAGCCGAAAAGCCAACTTATCACACCGGCCGTCTGGCAGCGGCCGTTGCCGAACGCGACATGGAGATCGCTCGCATGAGAGCCCATCTCGAGTCGATATCCGAAAGCAATCGAATCATCAGACAGGAACTCGCTATGACGAGAGCCGAGACGGAGTGACTGGCTACCACGTTGTCCGGATTGCATGAGCAAATAGAGGAGTTGATATGGGAAGGTTCGTTATCGGTATCCGGGAGAGGTTGAACAGTTATTATCGTTTGTTTTTTTGTTTTTATAAATAAAGATTTTAAAAACAATAAAAAATTTTAATCGTCTCAGAGCTAGAATCTGCGAAAGAGACAAGAAAACGGTGTTAATAAAAACGGAGCAACTTCTCTGGTTTCTCTCTGGTTAATTCGCGTTAAAACATGTTGAGGAGAGCTTTCCATCCTGTGGAGTGCGACCTGGATTTCTTGCGAGAACGCAAAGACCTCTTCGTCCGATGGAAGAAGGACACCGACGCCAAGGCGATAACGGCCGAGATAAACGCATCGGGTTTGTCGCACGGCGAGCTCGTTACGAGAACCTGCGGCAGAGAAAACTTTATGGACGCGAAAGCAACCGTGGAGGACATGACGGAATTCAGAGCGAGCAGATCGGTTATGATTCACGCCCTGACCGCCGTCGGGGCCGCCACATCGTGTACGTGCCCGGCATGGAATCCGAGTACAGGAATTTGGAACCGGAGGAAAGACACTGGATAATAGATAGCGCGAAGAACCTCGCGAACCAGCTGCTTACCAACAGCTACGATCAGCCGCTGTGGAACTCGATCGGAGGTTCGCCGATGGCCGTGGCCGTGTCCGTCCTTCAGACGCTTGTGTCGAATGCCGACGCCGGCGATCGGGGCACCGCGATCTGCCGAGGTCCGCGAAACCACGCGACGTACGAGCTGAGAAGGATAACGGAGAAGAGAAGTAGGGCTTGCAAAATACCGCCCGTGAAACTCACCTGTCTGAGATTGCCGTCGGACGTCATCGCCCCCGCGACCAGACCTATGCCGGACACGTCCGATGGCGTGGGATTCACTGCGATCAGCAGACCGGATGCGAATCCGGATCTCCTGCCGGACCTCCGTTTTTCGTCGAACAGCCGGGAGAGCAACCTTCCTGAGAAAAGACGTTCGGCGAGCGAAGAAGGTGAGCAGACGGGAATGCCCATGCATTCCAGCTCGTAGCTTCCGCTCGCTATCAGATTCATCATCTGCTGCACAACGTTCCCTTCGCTACCGTCTATGTGTTCCGGCACCAGGTGCCTCCAGTGGGGACACACCTTGCGGACGCCTCTCTCGAAGCAGGCGTCGCACAGGTACGATTGCGTGATGTACTTTACGAGAGGTCGTCCCTCGTGTTTAATCGTCACCAGTTCCTGGGACCAGTGCTCGCTGGAGTTCATCGACGACGTGAGCAGAACCGACACGTTCTTCGGTTGAAACACGGGCAAGGTGGATATCATCGCCGCTTGCTTCATCCAAGGATATTCGTCCATCCATCCGAGGTCGCAGCCGGTTCCTCTGGAAGCCTGAAAAATATAAAAAAGAGGAATTTAGAGGAAAAAATTATGAAGATGGCTGCGGCAGCGCTCAACGCGTACGTGACAGCGAAACGGTACAACATCTACAACGTCGACGAACTTCACGAATGCGTGCCGAATGCGTGCGGATTCGCGGAACCGCTGCAGGACGGTACCCATTTCGTATGCGAAAAGTCTCTCCGGGTCCACGTCTGCGCGGGCGACGAACGACTTTGCGCGATTCAACATCTGGACCACAACGTCAGAAGATGTTCGTTTACCGGCAAGGAGTTCTACCTGAATGATTACGAACCGGAGGTTGTGGGACGCGACCTGTCGCTGTTCGTGGGACAGAGACGAGACGCCTCCAGGACGCGGAGTAGGGACGGCGCCATGGCACGTTTCGCGGACGCGGTTGACAGGGTGTTGAGAAATCTCAAGAACCGAGAAAAGCGACGTGAGTACAACCGCGCGTTCTTACACATCT